TTTTTTTTTTTTTTTTTTTTTTTTTTTTTTTTTTAATTCTGTGTATGTTAAAGATTGAAATGCGTCCTATTCAAGCAAGGGGTAATCGAATGATGAAGAATCTGAGAATGATTGACACTAGGAACCACAAGACTTGATTTCAGGAGTCAGCAGGCACGGCGTGTTTTGCTCTTCTCTTCTCACGGTTGATGTTGCTGCCGGCAGCAAGGGAGGGGTGTGGTATTAATCACAAGAAGCCTCTGCTTTTGTATTATGCTCGCGCAGTCGAGGTGCCTGAGCGGAAAAACCTCGAGGCACCATGAGCTTCGTAAACGGAAAAAACGTAGAGCGAAATGCCAAAGAGTAAGATCATGAAGATTGCCTTGAGAGAATTTTTTTCGGAAGAGAGAGAAATGAAAAAAGGAAAACTTATAAAAGGGAATTTGGAAGAGTTAAGGGACATGCAGAAATCGAGAAACGGTCCAATTTTTGGTGAGAAGAAGGGGGAGGGAGGGAGGGAGAGGAATTGGAGGGGGGGATCTTTTGTTCACCCGCGCTGTTGGTGCGCTCGAATCCACCGGCTGTTGATGCATTCCATTCGGGAACGAAGTTTTTTGCCATCATGAACTTGTGCTTGTGGCGGTGAGCTTCTTTTACGTCAGAACCGCGCCACCACTTCCTTTCATTATTGCCATGGTTCCTTTTCGGTTGGCCTGTTGGGTTTGTAATCTGGTTCCTTTTCAGGGTTTGTTCGTTCGCCGTCGTACGGGCGATTTTTCAGGGGGTAGTGGTGGTTGGAACTGATGACTTCGACTTGTCAACCGCGGACAGAGCTTCTTCGTCACTCTGCAACACGAGAGGCCCCTTGTCTTATGCGCACCGTCTGTCAGCGTGTACCTCCTTTTTTTCCTTTCCGTTTGATCCCATCGGAAATTCGAATTCGGGTCTGTGTTTCCACAGTTCATGGGTGTACCAACTGACCTTATACCCTTAATCAGCATGGACCTTGACTGGCGGCAGCAGGAGGCCCTTTTTCCCAATGGCAGACCTACATTGTGACCATTATTATTATATAAGCAAATGGGAAATTGTCAGCAAGCAGGGAAATCTGTGTCGTGGAGGGCAGGAAACAATTTTGAGAAGAGCAGGCCCTTTTCCCCGTAGTGTAAAGGTGCAGCAGACCCTTTTTCTCAATGGATGACCCTGATTACAGGCTGTCAAACATCTCTGTCTTCTGCGATACGCAGTAGAACCCTGCACCTTTCAAAGAGAGGGGGTAGTTACGAAAAGAGATGTTCTGCACAGCAGCTTTTGCGAAGTATAAAATCACAAGGCAAGATGCATGGCCTGGGCTGTTTGATGTCATGCCCGTTAGAGAGCGTGGTTCTGCATTGAGGGAACTGAGCTGACAGGCTATTCCAACATTAAATGCCTAAGGCTTTCTGTTCTTTTTTTTTTTTTTTGCGCACACGTGCATGCGGGTTTACTTGCCTTGGATCTGGAGAAATGCTTAAGAGTTGTAAAGATTCACTAAAGAAAGTTGTTAGCCCTCGTCCATGTGATCGAACGATGCCAATCAACTGTGAAGGTGTGAATGAATGTGGTCGGGATGAAGTATCAAAGGTGAGTGAGGAATGTTTTCCCGGGCTACAAAGTTTGTGAGGAGCAGGGATACCATATCAACTGTAAAAGCTGGCCAGTTTCTCTCCCCCCGCCATTCTCTTAACAGGTCGGTTGGGCGATGAGAGTGGCATTGTTGCAAGAGGATGAGTCTATTTCCAGACAGAAATGATACCTGTCGTTCTCTTGTGAGGTTGGTTGGGCGATGGTCTTTTATGGTTGCAAGAGGCTGAGTCTATTTCCAGACAGACAGGTAGTCTATTTCCAGACAGAAATGATACCTGTTGTTCTCTTGAGAGGTTGGGTGGGTGATGAAAGTCGCAACGTTGCAAGAGGGTAAGTCTATTTCCAGACAGAAATGATACCATGTGTGTGCGGGAAAGAAAGGAGGCGTACAAAACATTGATCAGGAATGGGAGGGGAAAAAAAAAAAAAAAAAAAAAAAAAAAGAGGCGGCAAGTCGCCGGCAACCCTGCTTATATGTCTTGCAGCAATCTGGGGTTTGGACTGCGAGGGCCCTAGGTTAGCATCAAGATGCTTCTTGGGGTTTTCTGTTTGATACTCTTGACTGTGATTATGTTAATTGTGGTCACTTTTGTCGTTAGTTTAGTTCATATTTATTCAATGTCATATATGTCTGAGGATCCTTTTTTGCCTCGATTTATGTGCTATTTATCTATTTTTGCGTTTTTTATGCTCATGTTAGTTACCTGGGATAACTTGATTCAAATGTTAACTATGGTTAGGTAAAAAAAAAGAAAAAAAAAAAAAAAAAAAAGAAGGTTATCTGCTGCAAGTTTTTCCCAGGTGGCTAGTAGGCTAGCCATTCTTTTTTTTTTTTTTTTTTTTTTTTTTTTTTTTTTTTTTTTTTGTGGAGACACTTGGTTCGGGCTGCTATTGGGGGTGATATGAGCATCGCTCAATAGCAGCCTTCTGCCATTGACTCCTGTCTATTGGCTAGCCATTGTGGGTTTCTATAGACCTGAACTCAGGGTTTAGCCTGCGAGCTAGGACTAGGAGAGTAGTCCTGTGTTCAAACTTCCAATGTTTTGGAGAAGAACTCTCGTTCTCAGGCAGCATCTTAGCGAGGCCCAGGTTGGTTGTCTGGCAAGATGGGGGTGGGGTTGGGGGGGGACAGGGAAGGTACCAATATTTGTTTTTGTCATGTGGCTGCCCTCCAAGTCTTCTCTGGTTGTAGAGGACCTTCCAATTCTCCCTCTGTCTGCAGGGGTTGTGTGTGGTATGGGGGGGGGGGGGGGGGCGGGCAGCATATGGAATGTACCAATACTTATGTTTGGTTGGGACTTTGCTCCCCTTGCATCCATTTTACCTCCCCGTCCACCCATTCTCCCTCTTCGCTTTTTCCTATATATTTTCATTCCAACCTTTAGCAGCAGCAATATGTGTGTCGCATCACTTGGATGACGTGTACCGTGAACAAATGTCAGACCGTTGAATTGTGACCAACAGATGTGAGTCAGGGCATACTCACACGAGCACATACTTCCACAAATTTTATGTATGTGAATTTGCGTCTATATGGCACCTGCGGGTCACACTGGTCACCCGTTTGTTGCCCAAAGCAGAAAAGAAAGGGTCGCGACCTCTCAAGGCCTTGAGATGCGAAAATACGTTGTCTGCAGTCAGACAGCACAATGCACTTTTTTTTTTTTTTTTTTTTGCTTCCAGAAAGCAGTAGGGGAAAAAGAAATGCGATTTTGCGGGGACCTCCGGAGGTCCCTGCAAAATATGTAAGCCCACGGCTGTCCAGGCCGCTGACATTTACGTGCCCTTTTGTGTGAACAATCAAAATACGTGCCTCTCTTGTGACCCGAAAAACTACATAAAATTTGCGATTTTTCGAAAATACGTGCTAGTGTGAGTGTGCCCTCAATCGCGGCTCTGGAGACATAGGTAGCAAAACAAATTCGGAGTGGCGCGCAGAGAGCCTTATCATCTTTATTGAAGTGAGAGGAATATATAGGCGATGATGGCGAATGCTGATTCTATATCAGAACAGAAGAAGCAGCGATCATTTGGGCAAACACTTTAGGGTACGGAGTCCATGCCTAAGGGTTTCACCAAGCTCGGTGTGGTTTAGGAGCCATAGTCTGGCAGTGGCGAGTCAATCAGGTTACCACGATGTAGTCCCCCATACAACGTACAGGGGGTCTCCGGGCCGGCCGTCCCCGGATGGACGGCCAGACAGGTGTACGACTGTACAGATGATCACCCGTACAATGCCGCATTTGGGGCAAAATAAAATGCAAAAAACAAAAGGGGCTTATCAATGTCGTGGTAGAGGGCGGATGCTAGGCCTTGGAAAGTGTCTGTCGTCGTAGTCGACCAGTGAGGGGATCGGGATGGCTTGTGACAACCCCAAGGACAGTCTTCCTCCAGGGGGTGTCATTCGTGAGCTGTTACGTCCTAATCTTATCCCAAGTTCAGCCCTACAGCGGTGCGACCCAGACCTCTCTATCTAGAGCTAGACCTACAGCAACCCGCGCCTTCCAAGGAATCGTAGACACTTCCCCCCGTGTGCTACCATAGGGACACCCCGAATCTCGAGGACGACCCGGATACAGGAGGGGTCACGGACATACATGGTCATTCCCCCCCTGTAACACATCGGGCAGACTCTATTGGTGGTGGAGCCACCCTTCTACATCAATGCGACAACCCTTTCAAGTGGTAGAACGCATGTTTTGCAAGTATGAAGTTATCGGTTCAAGTCCGATCGTCTCCAATTTCCCCGTGAGCCCACGTAGCTCAGGTGGTAGAGCATTCCCTTGGTAAGGGAAAGGCCTCCGGTTCAAGTCCGGTCGTAGGCTCCGTCTTAAATCAAAAAAGATATATATCCCCGGACTCACGCCCCAGTCAACCCCTCAGTGGGAACTCAGACGAACACCAACCTGGATGAAGCCCAGCCCACAAGCATCGTGAGATGAACCTGAAGCCCGCCCGTGGGAATCCTATATGCCTCACACCCAACCACTACCACTACTCAAGGGGGTGTAGAGAGTGGGCTCTACCTGGGACGTAGGATCGTACGACATGGGTATGGATTCTCGTGGGTGAATCATGAGGCTGGGAAACGACCATAGATACA